CTGTTTTGTAATCAAGATATCAGTCAGCCTGCTTATTAACTGTGGCTTAACGTACTGTTGAGAGCTGCGTCTGATGCGTGACATCATAACCTGCTCGGCTCTGCTCATTTGTTGCAGTGGATGAAGCGATCTCTTTTGCGGCAGTTGTAACGTGTCTGTGTCTTTATCCCGCTGTGATGCATGTAGCTTAGTTCGGAGCTGAAATGATCTGCAGGATGAGAGATCAGTAACTCCCTGTGAATAAACCTGCCAATCTCTCAGGGCACTGACTATTGTCTTGCTCGCTCTCTCTCTCACTCGCTCTCTCTGGTCAACCCAGTTGCTTCAGTCACCGCTTTGATTCGTGTGTTTCACTGTTTCCTCTCCGTGATTACTGTCCCTCTCACTCTTCCTTGCTCCCGAGTCTCATTGTTCTCATCTCTATTTGTCTCGTCTTATCTCCTCCCCTCATCCTTTTTCTCCCTTAACTGTTTCCCTCTTTTTCTCATTCTCCACGCCTTCTCTCTCTCTCTCTCTCTCTCTTTATCTTAACCCCTCCATCTCCTCCGCTGCCCCGTTCTCATCAGACACACACAGAGAGTGATGCACAAACACCATCCCTCACATCTCCAATGAGTACCTTGTTATCATCTTGTCCCCACAGCGGCTTTCTGTCTGGCTCCGTCTCAGCTTGGATTCCATCACTAATGGGACCGCATCATTTTCGACAGCTGCAATTCCTCAGCGCTGACAAACAGAGATGTGGTGCAGCTCTGAGAACACATCTCAGAGGGATTGTACACTAATGCTTCAGTCTGATTTACACATTTACAAAGGCCTTTTTAAAACATCATTTCTCTTTGACACAGACATGCTGGTGTTGTATATGGAAAGCGCCTCATGGCCTGTAAAGACAACGTATACTTATTTCAATCTGTAGTCAGAATCTCTTCACATTTCCCTCATCTCGCTATCTTCTGAAATGTCCTTTTTTTTTTTTTTTGTATTTAAAGTAATGCCAGCCACTATCTCAGTTTCAGGGAACACAATGCATGAAATATTTATGAGATTTGAGAACGCAGTGACAACAGACAGTAACTTGTCAACGTGCTATTCTAGGTTCAGACATCTTAGAGGTTCATATATATGGCTCCTCAGGCTCCTCAGATCTGCAGAAGAGAAGCTGAGTCAAACTTCATGAAAGCTTCAACAATAGCACATTACTTTGGTGCCTTCGATCCCGCAGCCCGCTAATCGTTTCTACTGGGTCCTGCAGGGCAACAACAAAGACTTCCAGAATTTGTATGCCAATCTGTTATTTCTTTTGATTGCGTCCTTAACTAAATTTACTTGTTTTTTTGCAAGCGCTGCTTTCATCTCACTCAAAAGGGGGCACTTAACAGCTGACTTGCTTGTGACCCAGGACAGGCTTTGAAAGCAGACACACACCGCAGACTTCAAAATCAAATGATCCACGCAAACAACTATCTCTTTTGTTTTAAAAAAAAAAAAAATCCTCTTTGTTTCTTTTTAATTATGTTCGGGAGAATGTTGATGTATGTTTTTTTTATTTAGCTTAGTTCACAGTTTTCCCAGTGTGCCTGAAAACAATACTCACACGCACATATGTACAAGAGTTCTCATCAGTCCCTTTTACCATAGTGGCCGTAAAGAGATCGATTTCTAATGTGATTTTATAGCTTGTAAGAATAAGAGATTTTCATTCTGTGTAAAAATATATTCAGCTTAACCTAATAGAAGTCTTCAGCAGCTTGAGTGCGATAAAATCAAGTTTAGGGTATTTTTCAACGTTAGTCTTTTAGTACATAACTTCCCTTTTTTATGTCTTTCTTTGCTGAGCTGCAAAAGGGAAAGTAACAAAAACAGGGAAATTTGTTCTCAAAGACTGTAGCTTCTCATTCTTTATTCACAGGCTTTTAGCAGAGTCAGTGGAGTTTGTTGTCTGTAAGCCCATAGGTTTCCACAACCTGAAAGAATAAATGAGTGTCATGGTTACATTAATATAAGAACCAGTATTGATGGGACACTGCGCCTTATTATATTGTATGACACATTAAGAAAAAAAAAAAAAAGATGAATTAGCTATTTGCAGTTCCTGTCTGAAACATAACCAATCTTGTACAGACAACTGATGCTGAAATTCGTTGATACTTTGAGGCGAGTTCCAGAGTCATGAAGAGCGTCTTTCTCTATGATTTCTAAACTGATTTATGGACATGTATTTGCAATAAACAGTGATAAGGATATCCTCAGTAAATATGAATCTTAAAATATGTGCATTATGTCTCTGTGTTCAGATTTGACTGAGAGATGACTCTGAGAAGGAGTTCCATTTTTTTTATGCATATTTTTTGGGTACAAAAAAATTGATTTGACATGACTGGACTGCTAAAGCCTCACATTAGCTTCAGATTTACTTAAGAATGCACTTGAACACAGGAAAAGGATTTTGTGGATTTTGTCCCTCATCTTCTACATTAAAGTAGCACTTAGAAGAATATGTATCATAACAAGTATGGAGAACAATGTTTACAGACGGCACAAACTCTTTCATCACACGTATGAGTATTGTTTTAAGACGGGCTCGGAAAAAAGGTGAACCCATCCTTTAAATGTAACTAACTCTCAGATAGAGGCATAAGGGTCTTTTTGTCCTAAGAAGGTTAACAGCTAGAAAAATTTTGAAACCTTCTCCAAGGTTGGATTGACTGAGATGGCAGCACCACTCTGAGAGAACATTTTAATTTCCTATTGGTGGGTATTAGGCGGCTCACGCAGTGAACTGAGGAGAGCTGTGTGTTGAAGCTTATCGTGTTTGAAGAGAGGCAGGTACACTGATCTGTGTTAATAACGTGGTGGTAAGAGCTGCTCAGCCAGCCAGCAGTTATGGCCTGCCAGCGTATTACCAGTGACATCACAGATCAGACTGCATTTGGCTCTGCTCGGCCGGCTCTCATTAGAACAGACATCCTACAGGAGCCCTGTGCCGGTCATATACACACTGCCCTTTAAAGGACGGTCAAAGAGCAGCTGTAAGAGCATTACAGACAATGCTTTAAAGCTGTTATCAAATAACGCCCGGTAATACTAAATGTAAGGTAATACACTGCAGATCAGGCTTCTATTTAATATATTTTTTATTTTATCAGGCTTCAGTAAGACCAAAACCAAGGGAGGAATACATGCGAGCAATCAAAGGAAAGATGAAATATTCCATATGATGTGTTTGTTTGCGTCATCTTCACAGTTCAGAGAGATGACTCTCATTAGACTCCAGTTTGATTGAACGTTCGGTGATTCTTAGCCACAGTGTATTTGAATGGTGGCATGTTTGTGCTTCAGTTACGGGATCTCGGGCTCAGTGCTAATTTTATTTTAATCAGGATTTGGAGAAATACTTAAATTTATATCTGGCCGAAAAGTCTCTCTGAGCTTCTTGGAGCACGAACAGAGCCAGAGCGTTAAATATTTCAATAAACAAGTAGATTTTAAATATTTCATGGGCAGAACGATTGATATGAACTGAAACTACTTTATGAAACATTAAAGGCCCTGTGTCCATCTGAACTATACAGATTCACTGCCTTTCTCAGAGCACTGCTTGTGCCATGGCCTCTTTAGCTGTATTTAAGCCAGAGCACTGGAGAAATGCATCCAATGCTGTCATGATTGTTAGTGCATTCATACATCATGCGAGGAGGAAAATTTGCTTAATAGGAATCTGTTCTCTCTCTCCGAGGCATTCTTCCCTTATCTGCCCCTGAAACTCCCCCTCTACTCCTTTCTCACCCAACACTGCTCTCTCTCTGACTGGGGTGAATACAGAAGAATAACACTGCACAGCATTTCAAAGGGTGAAAAAAAAAAAAAAAAAACACACACACACACACACACACACATCCAAGAGTATGGGTTGTGGCCAAGTAAAATAAAATAAAAATATTTTCTCTGCAGGGTTAGGGAGTAGTAGCAGAGGGGTTTATCTCATGTCCTACCACATCTATGCCTCTCCGCAGAGACGCAGCCCTGCAAAGTTTGGCTCGCTTAATATACTGCAGTACTGATTCACTCTGATAAAACACTGTACTCTTCAGTAGTGTACAAATCCCAAACTTAATTACTATGAGCCGAAATGGAAATGAACTCAATTATGAAAATATTGACGCATATTTGCCCTTCAGACATTTTTGTATCTAATTAAATTCTTTTTTTTTTGTCTTCGCCAATACTTCCTAACTTTGTTTTCGTACTGTAATAATAGATTCAGCAAAACAGTTTGATTTTCAACAGGATTTTACTGCATACATACAAAGTTGTTCTGTTTAACCAAGATAAATGGAAGGTTTTGTAATGATCTGAATCATACAGGAGGTTCGTTGAGGGCATCTTTCCTGATTCCGTAGAAACGAGAAGGGTTATTTGAGTATTCTCTGAATTTGCTGAATCCAATGAGCGGAAAAAATATTTCAAGAAATAGAATCAGGCAGGAACAGACTATAAAGTACAACTCCAGACTGAGTGAATCAACACTTAACAGCATATCCCAGTTATTTTGTATTGCACATCTATGAAGTTGCGAACTTGCAGGAGACAGATAAATCAAGAATAGTCAAAGCTGATGTTGCAGACTTGGAGATATCCTCCCTCGCTTGTTGTGCTTAATATTTGTAAGCTTCCAGTAATGGATCTTGATAGTGTCTTCGCTTAGATCCTTCCTGTATGATAAATACTGCCGTCTATCAAACTTTACCCCCAGTTTGAAATGCAGAATTTCTGTCATGAATTTGAAGTCTCCAAAATTGTAACACGACTTTGTGAAATCCACACAATGCCCCTATAAACGTCCATCTTGCTATGTCAACAGAACCCAAAAACAATACATGTACTTCACTGTAAATGACAAGAGACACATAAGATTGATGAATCTCAAGCTTTTATAATCATACCGTCACATTAATGTGACAAGTGCGAGAGGGGAAACTGAATACTGCAGCAATTCTCTATCCGAAGTAACTCCAGCACTTGTAGAGCCTGTTGATCCTGAGAATGTCGATTTTGGACAGGCCATCTCTCTGGCCGACCGAAGCAGAGGGGTCATGGATGGGAGTTATGGTTTCGGCTCCAAACTTTCCAAAGGCAGTTCTACAGGTTTGGACAATAGCAATAAGACAAAGACATGTTCAGAAATGTGTTTCCAGAATAGAATTAGATTCAACACAGACTTATTTGTTTTAGTGTAACGTTTCTGTTCGACCCTACCTTCCATAGTGCATTACAGAGGAGTAGTCGTATGGAGTGTTGAGATTATCTGTGTCCTTCTTTTGGAAGTTGTAGACAAAATCTATTGACAAAAAAAACAAAGACAAATAAATAGCTAATAGACTGAGACAAAGATCGATCTGAATCGGTCAGTCGTAAAGTGAGTTTCTTACATTTATTGATGTTTTCCCAGTTGATTTTGACATACATGTCGCGGTCGCTGCGAGTGTGTTCGTGGTAGAAACCTAGTGCGTGCAGCAGCTCATGCTGGATGATGCCGTGGCGTATGCAGCCGAACCTCTGCAGTGACACCACCTGCTTGTCTCCAATACGACCCAGTAAAGAGGAACAGCTAATGGCAGAGAGAGAGAGAGAGAGACAGGGGCCATTAATATGCAACATGCAACATTTAATTAATAAAGTAATATAATTTATATTACCAGCAACCCTTTGTGTACATTGGTAAATAATTAGCTTTCTGATTATGTTTGTGGAGGTTTTTTTTTTTTTTTTTTTTTTGCTGTTAGCATATCCGAGAGCTTAGTTGTGGCTGTCAGTTACAGATGCATGATTCTGACAATGAGGGAGGATGGATTAGAAAAGCACTTCTTTGCCTTAGTTAAAAGCATGATCCTGCAGGATGCATGTTGCAGCTTTAACCTGTGTGCAGGATCGTGCCCCTGAGCACAGACATGTGGACTCCCCACCTCCCCCCGTATAGGAACAAGACTGAAAGAGATGCAAAGTGATCAAAAAATGACACGGCTGCATTGTTTGTAGTAACTTTGCATTCATGTCTTTGCGGTTGTTTTGCATGTCTTTGTAGTTGTTGTGCATCTCTATATGGTTTGTGTCTCTTTGTGGTTGTTTGGCATCTTTATGTGGTTGTTTTGTGTCTCTCTTTGTGGTTTTCTTACGTCTTTTTTTTTTTTTTAGCTGTTTTGCATCTTTTTAGTCATTATAGGCTCTTTACACTGGCACTGCTTCGCTAAATACTAGAGCAAACTACACTCTTTACTCTGCTTATGTTACTGTACAGTATTCAAATGTAATGTTGCCGTAGCTTCAGTGCAGTGTGCTGTTGTGATGTGAAGATGTAAAAAGGAAAAAAAAAATCAACAGTAACAAATGTTGGATGGGATTCAGTTTTCAGATTGTCAATATTGAAAGACTCTGATCATGATCAGAAGCAAAAAAAAAAAACTCTCAATCAGGAAGTCCCTCCTTATAACCGAGCTCTGTTACTTCTCATCAAGGAACGTTAACAGTCAGTCGTGATAACAGAGGCTCTTGCTCAGGGGCCTCCTCGATGCCTTGGGCTCTTGGGCCTGCGCCTGTTAGGCTACGCTCAGTCATCCATCCGTGCAAGTGTGTAGCATCAGATGGGTGTGTCTGCATCGAGGCAGCTCAGAAACATTGTGCTGAGGAAGTTGTCGATCACAGGAGGGCACCCCAGCCTTTAAAATACATTCAACTGCCTGGAACACTGTGTGTCGTCCAGTGTGCAAATCCTGATCCATCCAGCGTAGAGACGGATAGGTTGAAATCAAATGAAGTAATGGTACTTAAGCCATGTCGTGCACAATGCACTCGACATGGCATGTCTCTTGACAAATGCATATATCTTCAGTGTCCCACTTTTATATATATGATGTTATTGGTGTATGTACTCTACATATACTTCCTCCCTTCACATGCGAGGGTGTTTTAGTTATTTACTTACCCATATCTTGGTTCAATGCTTAAGTACGCCCTCTGAGCCGCACGTGGAATGAAGCGAATGCAGGTTTTTGATTCAAAGTCCCTCAAGGCTGCTAAAATCTGACTCCTCTCAGAGTTGTCTACAGTTGCGGATAAAATGATAAAAATCAGTAATATCATCCATTCACTAGGTGAGAGAGACATGTTAAGATACCCAATCCTGTTTCACGAATGTATTACCTTAAAAATTGAAACCCACCATATTTTTCACTTAAGATGAAAGGGATTTCCACGTTCCCATTAGCAGATTTTGACCACAGGCAGGTATATGCTTTATTAAAGCACTTCATAGCATTCCTGGTTTTTGGAATCAACACGTCTCCTTCCAGCAGAAAATCTTTAGATCCTATTAAAATGAAAGAAAATATGTGCTTTCATCCATTTGTCAGAAACTTTGGTAAAATCAAACAATAAATTATTTTAGTTCTCAAAAAAAAAACAACCCATTCCTTTATTGAATTTAGAAAATCTGCATTAATATAGTGAGAAGCTAATGTTCCCCTCGCCGTCCTTGTAATATCATGATTGAATACTCACCATTGTTCATTCTCAGAATGGTTGTGGTAATGTCCTCCATAGCGGAGCCATCCACTGAGATCTCTAATGAATGGAAGAAAAGCAGATGTCAGACAACTCTATGTTGACTATGATAAACGGCGCGAAGCGTGATAGATATGGTTTGTTAGACAGAGCTCCAAACTTACCATCATCAGCACCATGATCCTGTGGGGAAAAAAAAACAGAAAACATAAACCTCTGTACTTCATTCTACAGTCTTTAAAGTCAGTTTAATGTAATGAAGTGGGCAGAGACAGACACCCATACAGTGCATAGAAACTGTTCAGCACTATGTTTAGTGAGTTGTTTCTTACATTTCCTTGCTGAGCGTTGCAGAAGCCCAGAAGCAGGAGAAGAAGAGACCTAGTTGTTTTAAAGTCCATTTTTATCTGAAGGTGATGACGTGAGTCTTCACTCGCCTCACCCAGGACTGATGCTGAAGCCCAGTCCGGGCCGAGTTTATATGCAGGATGTCGAGGTGTGTCTGTGTACAGAGATTAGCGGTAGGGGTTCAATGGGCTCTGTCTTAGACACACAGCTGATGGGAGTGCCCTGCCCACCATGGCTCACTGTTTCCACACAGGGATAATCTCATTCTGGGGGGATTACAGTGACCACAGGCTGCTGTCAGATCGCTTAGCATCACATTTCAGACAGCCTTTTTACCCGGCAGGAGGTCTGTGCATGAGATCTGGCGCCGTCCCAAAGTTTTATCCCCAAAATAACAGATATAACATTTGAAACAAATAATGCCATGTTCACATTAAATATTTGCAGGCACTGAGGTGAATTCATAGGATTTAGACGCTTCTCTAACCCAGTAGCATCATACAAAGATTACTATCGTTGTACTAAACAATAGATAACAATAGACCAACAATTGATCTGCAACTATTTTGATAAGTGATTGAGTTTTTTGATAAGTTTCAAGCAAACATGCCTTATATTTACTTATTTACTTAAGTCACTGTGGGCTCTGACATTATATACAGCAAAGGTTGTTTGATTATTTCAGAAATCAATCGGTTAATTGAAAATGGAAACATTATAGCTGTAGCCCTAATGGAACATGGTACATTTTTGAGTAAGATAAGTAGAACAATTACAGAAACAACCATTTCATTTGACGAAAAACGTGCACTGAAAACTTTGTAGCGAGCCTTAATAAAATGAACAAAAGCATTGATGAAAATAATAATAACAATAATTCTAAGAAGAACAATGATGCAGGACTGTAGGAAAAGGCATTGTTGGAGCAGAGAAAAAGGAGGAGAGACAAATAACCAAAAACAAAAAAAACGAAACAAACTGCCTCCTGATAAACATCTTCTGTAGTTGTTGGAACACTGTGAAGACACACTTATTTGTCGGCTCTGTTTTCTTTTTTTACCCAAAAGTCGTGTTCACACCATATTTAATATCAGCATTTCTTAAATTAATTGCAAGAATTTACATGTAAAAAAAACAACAACAACAAAAAAAACTTTATTTTGAAGTAAAAATCAAGATTATTATTTGATTTCTGTTTGCTGAGGGAGCTGCTCCACCACTCTGAGCATCTCTTTGGTTCAATACTGCTGTGCTGCCTCTCCCTACACTGCTGTATTTTTCCTCCAGCCAGAAAATATTACTTTGTGATGCCAAAAAGAAACTTCTATCGCTATTGGTATCAGAACTAACTTGCTGTTTGATCCAAGTATGAGCACTTAAAAGCTTGATCACTAACAACTCCAGTGGCGCTGATACCATCAGCTCATCTCGGGAGTCGTGCGAGTCCTCGAGTCTATGCGCATGAGATACCACGTAATGTATATAAACGTTATAGTTTCACACCCAGATAAAACGGCGGTTTTCTTCGCCTCTCTAATCCAGTCGCCTACACTGGAATTTGTGCTGCGAAGCCACCGGCAGCTACTGTTATAGAGCAGAGAAGAAGAATTGATTTCTGGTAAATAGCGTAACGTTAGCCGTTGGCTGAAGTCACTAATAGGCGGTCAGTGAGTGAGACACACACACTGTGAGATGAGATGAGACATAAGTGGGAGCACATATGACAGCTCGCAGTAATAGGCTACGACAGTTTTTAAATTCTTTTTCTACATGTCGTCGAGTATGAAAAGACCCAAAACGAACACTGTTAACGGACTGCTGGATTGCTACAAGCAAATCATTTACAACATTTGTATAGAAATGATTCTGTCCCAAGCTTCTTGATCCATGTAAGCGGTTGATCACTGTAACTGCTATCACTATAAGTGGTTTCCAATGTATTTGTTCATGCTTTACAAAGGGCTTAACCTGAGCCCTGCCATAGAACAATGACAGCAATCATATCACATCCATACAGGGTGAGTCGTAAACAGCTGTTAACATTTTTATTTATTTATTTTTTTACGCATCGTTATTGACATTTGAATCAGTATTGGTAAGGAAACAATGGGATCAGAACATCTCTTACAAAAACCTCATTTCCCATTAAACTAAACGGCCACTGTGGCCTTTACAACCCTCTAGATGCGCGAAGAGCTTTGTAGTTTACACTGGGTATGACCTATTGTTGTGGAGCTCCATTTAAAATGTATTGTTTCAGATAATAATAATGGCTCAATTAGTGACTGGCTGTAAAGTCCGGGATTCATTACTGAAGAGCTTCTGCTGCTGCCGCTGCTGCTGCTGCAACAGCGATGATCTCAGTGGTAAATACTGGACCTCGGCCACCGCCAGACTGTTCAGAACAGAAAACGGTCTTCTAAAATCTCCAAATCCAGAATTGGGTTGTTTAGAGAGATGAGTATTCAGATTTATTGGATACTTCGCTAATAAATCATCAGGTTCCACTGGATTGTTTACAGGGGGGGAGAGAGATGCTGTCTGGCTTCACGGCGCCATAAACAGTTTTAGGATCTGATTTCACATGTCCAGGCCGGCAGCTTCAAACAGAGATTCCATCATAGCAACCTTTATATGATGTGGTCCTCTGCTGTACATCACTGTAATGTGGCATTTATTGTTTAGGAACAAAAATTGCACTGTGTGTGTGTGTATGTGTGTTCCTGTGTGTGTGTGTGTGTGTGTGTGTGTGTGTGTGTGTGAGAGACTGCAGGTGTTTTATGTGTGAATAAAGCCCTATGGATTTAGTATACTCTATGTACTTTTGCGTGTATGTGTGTGTTTGTGTCTATGTGCTGTCTGTATGTCTGTGCCTGTCCAATTCGGGCGATCCGCGTGGGTGCACAGGTAATCCAATTTGTGTTTTAGAGTCACAGCACAGCACGAGTAATGCTCAATGATGTATGACCCATCCATTTGGTTGAGCTTTATTCCTAATGCCTCTCCAACTGCAGGGGGAAGTAGATCTTATTCAATTGGACGTTAGTCTAGTGCTACCCACAAAAAAAGTTTTTTTTTCTTTTATTTCTCTCCAAAGTATTACTTACCCATTATCACATTCAGTTTTATTTTCATTCTTTTCACTTATACCTCCGAAACATCCACTACAGTCTTTTTTTTTTTTACTGCATTTCAGAATTAGCTGGAAACAGAGCATTAAGATTGTGCTTTATATCCGTAATTCAACACTGTTCACGAGTATTTTAACCACAACAAACATAGTAAGAGACATGTGTCAAGGTCTGTTTTTAAATACAGTCCAGCAAATACACATCTTAAGCTGTTACAAGTCTGGATATTCTAAAACGAAAAAAAAGAAAAGAAAAAAAAAATCCTGCCTGCAGACATGCTGACTTACTAAAAGGTTTTTCATGGGTGAACACCCAAAAATGTCCTGTCGCACCATGCTGCCATTTATCAGTTTCAGAGTCACAATTTGCAGGTGTGTATGATGGGAATGGCAGGAGTGAAGGACCTTTAAAGAGAATCATATGATGATAATATTGTTTGACATTTTGTCACCTATGGACCATTAAAAATCACATTTTTTAGGCACTTATGTAAAGAGGATTGTGTTGCCTGACATGAGTAGTTGCTGTTTGTCTATGTTTTATTTCATTAAAAATCTTTTGGTTGAACATAATGTGATCTGAAGATGTCACGTTGACAAAAAATATAATGGGCATTTTTTTTCACTTTTTCCTTATAGACAAACAATTTATTAAAAAAAAAAAAAAATCTTTTGCACATTAATCAATATTGCAAATAAGCTGTAGTCGCAGCCGTACACAAGATGTTAGATATCTTCACATCACAGTGACGTTAACAATATTAGTAGGTGGATTCGCTTGGTGGGAGGAGGTGGAGCAGATGGGAAGTTTTGGCACATGGTTCTGGAGCACCAAACAGCAGTGATGGCATACCCTATTAGCCCTCCACTGCGCTAGAGTACATCTCTGTCTTTTTCTCTGACACTGCGTGGGCAGCCAAGGACAACAGTCAATGAGCAATATCAATTTACGTAATGGACTATTAAACAATGTGCTTAACATTTAGAAGCGCTACACTGGTGTTCAGTTGGAGTGTGTGCCAGGAAGCCCGCTGCCACGATAACCACCCTGTGAAGTGAAACACATTAGCCTGCTCCGATGCCTCTTTTCTTGCTCCTTCTCCTCCTACAGCTGGTCGTCCGACCCGACACACACATGCCCCCACTCGCTCTCCCTTCACTTGCCTTTCGCTCTGCATATGTCTGCATATCAAAATAACAATTTACTATTATGTGCCCTGCGTTCACGTCGAGCATCCCCCTGCGATCCGACTCATTACGTCTCCTCGCATGCAAGTCTTCAAAGAATCCAGATATTTCTTCTGTTATTTTCCCACTGCCTGACTAATTTCTCATCTAGTTGAACGTCTGTGGGTAAGAAGTTGTTTTTTTTTTAACTCACACTGATGGATTTATTTGTTTTTTTTTTTTCCTCTCCTTTTTCTCTCTCCGTTTGTTCTCTGTTCCATAGTCAATCTTAGAGGGTAAACATCTTGTTCATACTAACTGACATTCAGACAAACAAGAACAAATGTATTGAATATGAACACCATTTTAATTGGTGTGAATTACCAGACTTGTCAGAGCCACGCGAATAGTAAATTAAATCAGGTGTATTATTGTAGTAATGCAATTGATTAAGCCATGATCCAGTTGCGTGGTCCATTCAGGGAATAATTGTGTTTGATGGATGAGGTGTCAAGTGCTTTTGAGTTGGATTTGAAAATTATACTATAAAAGGTCTTTGTGCTGAGAGAAATATCAGTGAGGGTGAAAGGAGATGTGGTGAAAGTAAGAGTAGTTTTTAAATAGGGCAGAAATCTATCAGGGTCTGTGGCATGTCTGGTCCAAAGGCGCCATTGGAGCGAAGAGTACACATACGTGTTATTTTGACAAACGTAAAATACGGTTTACAAACCGTAGTCGGCTGTTGATTTTTTTTTT